TTCAGTGACTCTGTGTTCTAGCTGATTCTTCAAAATGAAATTTGACATTACAGAGAACACAAATAACTATTTGTGTGCCTACTGTATATAATGACTGGTTGGAGGAAGAAGTTAGTATGTGGCCAAGGTAAGACTGAGCGAGACAAGTTGTCATTATAAGAAGTCCCTGCAGAGGTGTGTTATTAGTCCGACTAACTCATATGACCTTTCACAGGTTATTAACAGAGGATATGAGTGAGCATCAGCAATGATGTTTCACCTGCACTGACATCTTATTATTTACACCTTTTCCGATTTTTCCTCAGGGGAACAAAGAACAATTTTTAGGTACTCGTACCTTTCTGTACCTTCCATTTGATGCTATATTCACACTTAGATTTCAGAGGAGACATATTGTGCTTTTTACTCTACTACATTTAACTACATTTTACTTAAAGACTTTTTGTACATGCAATCTGTAAAATATGATGCATTGTTGTAAATTACACGGGTTAACTATATAAAAATAAGGAACAAAAAAGGTTTGACAGAGACAAGCTACAAAAAATTATACATTACCAATATCTTAATGTGTTTCACATTAAAATACATGTACAAACAACGTCACTTACCCTCAGTTACTTTACTTATACTTACAGATATTATTACTTCTACTTTAGTAAACGAACAGAGAACATCTTCCATCACAGTTTTTCTTAAATTAATTTATTTCAAGGATCAGTGTGTAGGATTTAGTAGCATCTAGCAGTGTGTAACAGTGTGAAATACCCTATCTAGAGCCTGTGCCCTGTTTGTCCATTCTGAGCTACTGTAGGACATGGTGGTTGAAGATGGTGGCCCCGCTCCCTCTGTACACGAAAATAGCTCATTCTAAGGTAACAAAAACACAATGACTCTTATTTTCATGTGATTATACACCAATAAAAACATACCCATGAATATTATATTCCATTTCTGCTGATAGATCCTCCTAAATGTTACACATTTGACACACAGATAGACTGATATTAAAGGATAGGTTCACAAGTTTCAAGTGTGCTTTAAAACAATAGCCAAGTGCAAGTAAGTTAAAAAAAAAGAGAGTTGTGAGTCGGTCAAATCAATTGAGTATCATCCAAAGCTAGTCATTTTAATTAGAAATGTCTTCTGTGTTTTCACTGTATTCTGGACTGTTACTTCTCTCGTCATATACATGTACTGTAAGATATGGATAAAGGATGTAAGATGTCAGATAAGATATATATGTAAGATTTCTTAAACTGAGATGAAATCAACATTAAACTGTTACGAAATCTGCATTTGGCGAATGGAATAGAACAAGATCTTGCGAACAGTTGTCTGACAACAGCAAAGAAAGTTTTCTACTGTTAATGCATCCACTGAAGAAGTCAATCAGACAGCAGTTGTTTGTCTTTGTGCATCTGTTTTCCAAAAAAAGATGCAATTTGAGGCTTGTGTTGTCTGACTTGTCAACAAGAGCATCAAAAAGAAGAACAGCTCAAGTGCTGGAACTGTGTTTTCAAGAGTCAATTTGAGTGGTGCTGCACTGCAAAATATCGCCTACATACTGTATGTATCACTTGAGACTCCTACATGAAATAAAATCATAACCTTTGTATTATCTTACTCATTGTGTGGGTGACATGAACTGGCCACTTCACAGCAAAGCACATCCTGGATTATGTTTTCTCCAGGTAGAAGAACAGGTTTTATGTGAGGAGAAGCAGAAAACTCAAAGGGTGCACTGAAGGAGTGAAGATGGTCCTTTGATATTAATGGATTAACATATTTTGAGCTTGAAAGTGGATTTGATTTATGCAAGAGAGCTTCCAGAGCCCTTGAGGTAATTGTGTGATTCTTCCACCCTCAATGACAGAAGGCAGGGTATTGTACGACGCCCCGGTGCTGCAGCATATACAGTAGATTCACTGTGGAAAAAACACTTGCCAAAGAGTGCTACTGAGACTTGTTTAGTCTTACTTGTGCATGACAGAAATGTACAGCATCATATCATTCTGCACTGGGCCTTAAAATGTAAAAAATAAACATTTAGCTTACACTAGAAAACAGAAATACTTTGTTTAGGAGGTTACAGGTAAAATGTCAGGTGAACTTTAGACTAATGATGGCGATAGCTGGATTGTTGTGAAATGAACATGGATACTTTGGGGACTACCAATTTTGATCATGATCAGGCACAACAATGTTCAGAAATTCCTCTTGTTTTTATGTCTTTATTGCCAAATATATCTGTATTTCAAAGCCAAAAGGCTTTTTAATATTACAATTGTGCTGAATCCAAAGTTAAAGCTTCCAACAGACATTTCTGTTCCCATATGGTGAATGTTGGATCAAATCTGTAGAAGCAAAAATGTGTTTTGTCAAAACACAGAACATTGGCTGAATAATTTGGCTGAAATTTACCAGACTTTATTTGTTTAACTGATCTTGGCAATAGCTCGGTAAGACAAGAACATTTGGGGTGACCGGATAGCTCACCCAGTAGAGCTGGTACCCCCTGTACAAAGGCTGAGTCCTTGCTGCAGCAGCCATGGGCTTGAGTCCGACCTGTGGCCGTTTGCTGCATGTGATCCCCCTCCTCTCTCTACCCCCTTTCCTGTCTACCTTCAGCTGTCCTGTCTAATAAAGGGAAAAGCCCCCCAAAAATACATATTTAAAAGAAACAAGAACATTGCTGTCATTGATGCGAAGGCACCTGAAACCAGTAAATACCAACCCACAAGTTCAGCACCTCTGGGTCTGCAGTTCGAGTTCAACCTGCACCATCAGCAGGAATAACAGGTATGATCAGCAGCAGTTTAGACCAGCAAACATAGACAGGTTATCTACAGGCAAGCAAAGTAATATATTTTACAATTGTGACACCTTTGTCAATGCAATAAGTGTGCAGTGCAGTTATTTTCATTTTTCTGGCTGCAATCTGTGTACGTGACCGTTTATATGTTACACTTTAAACCTGCTACTGTTTGTTAAACTGGAACATATTCCAATGCAGAGTTGTGACTGCCAGGAGTGTCATCCTACATGACTGCTGTTGGTTAGTTTGGAGAGAAGGTGGAGTCCTAACTAGATATCAACATGGCACGTGTTTTGGCGGCTTATTACAGGGTTTATACATTAAACAATCAATGACTCTATTAATGATTTACTAACACTCATGCTTGCTGACTTTATGGTTTATTATTCATGTAAAGTGGGAAACTTTTTTTAAAGACTTACCAATGTTTGTAACTGTAGACTCGATGGCGTAGTACAACGTGGGAAACCAATGAGTATTTATGTATGGATTAACAACATTTTTACCATCCAGTGTTAAAGCTGTGGTTGCTAAAACTTTCGTTACCTTTAGGAATCCACATCATCTCTTCTAAATCAGCAGGTATAAAGTGATGCTGCTGATACTTTCCTCTCCTCTAGGGGACACAGGTTGGCTCATGTAGAACTGACAGTGACTAAACAGCCCTCCCTTGTGGAGAATCTGCAGCCTGACAATTTGAACTGATGACATTGCTAAAGAGATTGTTGTGTTAATCCCAAAAGGTGTATCTCCAGTCCTTGGGCTGGGAAAGTGGATGAATTGCATTTGGCTTTCCTGCATTGCCGCTGTTGACGTGCTGATGAGCCATGCACTTAACCTTGGACAGCTTCAGTAGAGCTGCTGACTTGTCAACAGATCAAAAGCATTAGCAGCAGAGGAGCATTCGTACTCCCGAACAGAAGGTCTCTATGTGCTGCCAAGAAGGAAAGAAAGAAAGAAAGAAGAAAGAAAAAAAGATGATATGACATCAGAGACATTGCCTAAAACCAACCAGATTTGTGCAATTTATGAAGTTGCAGGGGTGAGGAAAGCAGCAGGTGAGCTGTTGAATTATAGATTCCCATGACTTGTATCCATAAATCCAGCTTTGAAAGCTATCATTTCTATGTCCTGGGACATTTTGTTATGTTTTATTTAATATATACTCCTGTCTCCCAGACCCAGAAACAGAAAAAAGGGTTACCAGTTTTACAACTAACAATCAATGAGCGACAACCTTGATGGCGATACATACAGAATACACTGTCAATAGCTCAGAACTGCTAGAAAGTTATTCATATTCAGACTGATATTGTGAGACACATATAAGTGAATTGTTTTTTGACTTTCAACTGATCTTAACTGAAAATGTATGTCTGTATAACTCTTTTATTTAATAGTGTTGTAAACAAGTTTTTAACACCATCAGAGACATTCATGACTTCAGCTGTCTAGTTGTTTTCTACATTTTGTATGGTATTCAGATCACAGATGGCACCTTTAGGGATACGCTCAAGAGTAGTAAGCCACTCCAACAGCAAGACATGCCAGCACAGCAAAGGAACGGGCAACTCAGTACAGTCTGCATGCTAGATAAGGATGTATTTGCATGAACAAGTGTCACCGGGACTAAATCACGCAACCCTATCCCAGAGAACTTGGTACAGTTACCCAACAAACACATTTTCCAGTGCTCGTGGGTGGGAAGCCATTGAAGGGTTCATGTCCTTGTTGCTGCACTAGCGGCTCCTACTGGCTTGTCATGACACCTGCATGGGGTGAGGTGAAATCTGGAGGACATATGCCACATGGCTGGAGATACCAGAGAACAACAGTGGCAATAGCAGTGAGAGGAGTGTAGTACAAAAGAACCTGTTCTTCCAGAGTGGACAGGACATGTGTCAAATAAAAATAATAAAAAGGAGAGATAAAGAATGTGAGCATTGCTATATTCTGCTGCTGTACAGTTGTATTTTTTTTACAGAAGATTAAAAGCTTGTTTGGACCTCAAATAATCAGATTCAAATAATGACTGATAGTTACAAGCAAACCAATGGCTTCTAATTGGTCTATGTGTCAAGCAAAACCCTGAAATCAGACACAAGAGGACAAAAACATGTCATGAGAGCTGCTCTGTGATCAAAGTGTTGTGTTTATAGGTTGCCAAGACACAGTTGTCTGGCTACAGTGGACGCCTGGTGATTTACCTCAACAGCAGATTCTCATGAGTGTCAGAGTGTGTGTTTCATCTGAGAACAGATCGGCACACACACATACATACATGTACAGTACACACAGTTTGTCAGCCACACTATAGAATAGGAATAACACCTTGAGTGCGCTGCGTGTCTGGTTATCCTCCACTTTTGTTTTCAAACTAAACCGGCAACAGGGAGGAATTTCAGGCAGACGGCAGGTTTTTAATGTTTTTTGGATCAGAGGTCTCTGTTGGGAAAATCCTGTCTTTTTTCTTAGACCAAGCAGAGAGGCTACGATGAAGGCTGATGCTTTGTCAGTGAGGGAGTGCACTTGGATGTCAGAGGAGTGCCATCTGGTGGATGAGCTGCATGGAGACTCACAGAGGGAGAGCCTGTGTTTACCAAACATCTTCAGGTCCAAAAAAGTGAGGCCACTCACCAGGATTCAGACTGGACCCACTTACCAGGTCTACTATACAGCCAGAGAGCTTCTGCTGGAAGTTCTGGACAGAGGAGCCGTCCGGGAGCTGATCAGGAGAGCTGCTGGTGTGAAGGCAGGAGCTAACCGTCCGTCACACATCCAGAGCAGAGAGCAAAGTGCAGATCTCTCCGACGGGGAGTATGCCGAGGCATTAACATGGTTCTCTATAGTCCTACAGAGCGGTCTGTCTGTAGGAGAGAACAGTAGCGGCTTTGGCTCTGAGCTGACCCTAAAACTGGATGGATGGCAGGGCATCCTGAAGAGAAATAGCTTCCAGACCAACCTCCTGTCTCTGACCAGACTGGAGGATGGAGACAAGTTGGAAGCCCTCTCTGCTTTCTGTAACCACTTAACCAGGCGGTACCAGGCCTTATACACACCTGGTCAGAACCTGGCTGTGAAGAAATACAGACTTTCTTACCAGCAGGGTCCTTGCTGTCTTCATCTTGCCCTCCTCTGCGACATGAGCTCGGGGTTCATCTGTAACATGTATCTATACTGTCCGGAGCAACTCCAGAAGCAGAGTAGAAAACCTGTAGTTGAGCAGGTGGTCGGACACCTGCTGAGACCTTTCTGCAGTCACAAACACCTCATTCAGCTGGACAGCTCTGCTTGGATGGAGGGCAGACTCACAAACATCTTCTCCGGCTTTGGGGTCGATATTAAATTTGTTCCAACTATTAAAACTCCAGTCACAGACCAAACATCACCTGTAGTGGGGATGCCACATCAGCAACACACATCTGAGGACTCACTGTCTCAACTAGTAGCCCACCTGCAAGGCTGGACCGGACCTGCTCTGTTTCCTCCGTCAGACCTGAAAGGATCAGTGGAAGATGTGTTTCTCCCGGGCCTCTGGGCGACGTTACACATTATCTGCATCAACACATTTGTGCTCCACACTCTGCAGAACCAGGGCTCAGGCAGGCAGGTCCACATGACTGACTTCACCAGGACTCTAGCCTCTCAGCTGGCTGTGGACAGCAGCATCACTGTGCCTGTTCTGCCACAGCTGAACAGCACTTCCTATGCAGAAATGAGTTTTTCTAAGCAAAGGTTAGTCTTGCTGTTTGTTGTAGTGTGTCAATCCAAGCTAATAATAGGCTTCATGATAAAACAGACACAAAAAAGGAAAGCCAAAGCAGTGGTACAGTGATGACTTTCTATTTTGGAAAGCATTAGATCTTTAAAAATAGTTATTTTGAATTCAGTGTATTTCAGTGCAACTTTAGCTACAACAAACAATGAAAAGTGGAATTGTACTCTCTTCAGTTACAAGAAGTATAGTATATGCTATGTGATATTTTGACATGGTATAGTTAACATATTATGTACATAGTGTAAGTGAAGGGTAAGAAGATATAGTACGTAAAAGGTAACAGCATTATTCCATTAATAATTAATATGGCAGTTATTTTTTCAATTAATTGATTATTTGTTTAGTCAGTAACTTTTAAGAAGATTGGGAAAAACCCATTCACTTCCTAGATCTCAAGGTTTTACCCAAAGACCAGTCCAAATATATTCAATTTACAATTATATAAAACTGAAAAAGTCCTCACATTTGAAAAACATTTTTTTTTTTTGCTTGATAAATTACTTCAACAATCAATGATCAAAACTGTTTTAGATTAATTTTCTGTTTATTAACTAATCTGTACAGCTATAGAAAACGTAAGGTTTTTGATTTCTGTTCTGTCACTGGTCTTGTAGGAAAAATACTATCAGCTGTGCTTTGGTGATGGAAAATGAGAAACCAGGCTGCAGATCTGCAAAGAGGCTGCAAAGGTGGAACAGAGCAGGAGTGTGCGGTCTGGACAACTCGGGCAACTCCTGCTACTTAAATGCTGTGTTACAGTGTCTGTGTTCCACTGTGCCCCTGGTGGAGCACCTCCTTAATCAGGACACTCGTAAAGAGCTGGCCAGGTAAGACCACCCACCACCTCTCTTTATGTCTTGTTTCCCCAGCGGTTTAACCTCTGTTTACGCAGGTCCAGGTGCCGGGTGGCCGAGGTGTTTGTGCGCCTGCTGGAGGAGATGTGGATGGGAAGGAGTTCCAGCTGTGCCCCCGTAGAGGCCAGGTCCGTGCTGTGCTCCATCCTCCCCCAGTTCAACAACTATTCCCAGCAAGACGCACAGGAACTGCTGCTCTCTCTCCTCAATGCACTCCATGATGACCTCAAAAAGGTTCAGCAACATCTATCACATTATGCATTCACCAGGTACCTCTGTAGGAAATCACTTCACCTACAGAAAGAGTAACTCTGCGTGTTTATGTTTACAAGGTTGCAAAGCGTCACATGCGCTCCTCGAAACAACAGCCGAGACAAGACCAGAATAGAAACTGTGCCACTGCAGCTGGGGAGTCTACCATTGTCTCGCATCTGTTTGAGGGCCAACTGAGCTACATGACCCTCTGCATGCACTGCGATCACCAGGCACACAGCACACAGACCTTCACTGTGTTGTCACTTCCAATTCCAACACACATCAAGTGCTCCATTCAGGTACCCTTTTTAACAACTTTGCACTATTAAAAACATCATCCAGACTGTGTGCATGTAGTGTTTTAGATATTGATGGTCTTGCCCTTATTATTCTATGCTTTCTCACATTGTGTCTCATTGTATTGTGCAGGATTGCCTGTCACTGTTCTTTGAGCAGACTGTCCTGACCGGGGGAGAGCAGATGCTGTGTTCAGTGTGTGGGCTGAGGAGAGAAACGACAGTCCTCACCTGTTTGGACAAACCTCCCGAGATCCTCATGTTGCACCTGAAACGGTGGGTAGAAACGCAACATTATCTGTTAAGGTAACACGTTATTGTTATTGTAAGGGTATGTGTTTAATAGAGGAGTCTTCAATCTTGAATCACCACTGATACAACCATCTTACCTAAAGGTCCCCTTAGAAGCTGGTCCGGGGCTTTCAATCATGAGTTAAAAACCGCAGTTTAAAGTATTGTCTCATCTAATCATTATTCAGTGTATGACTTACAGTTGAGTCTATGATAATTAACAAGTCATTAGATTAGCTATGAACAGGAGAGTCTTTTTCAGGCTCATCAAAAACAAGACAGTTCATGAATTATTTCTTCATCATAAGAGACTTTGGTTTGTTCTTCTGATAAACTTCTATTTTGCCTTCAAATAGTCTGCATTTGCTCTTTTTTATGCAATCATTATGCATACATGACCATTACTATGATAAACTAAACTTATAACTGATTCATTAAAACCACTCATTTAGGCGGCAGTTTAGTGGGCAGAAACCATTAAACCATCCTGTTAATGGGATAGGTCAGAGAAACACTGCCAGACACAGAAGAGAAAGCCAAGCTAATTTGATGACAGTTTAACTATGGATGTTTTAACTGTGGGTAAACACTCATGAAGTTATGGACCATTAAATGTTATAAGGAGTTCGGTCTAGACCTGCTCTATTTGAAAAGTGTCCTGAGATAACTTCTGATATGAATTGGTGCTATACAAATAAAATTGAATTGAAATTGAATTGAACTGAATTAAATGTTAAGTAAACAACAGACTAACAGACTAACAGTGCCTTGAACGTCTATCAATATTGAGCAACAGACCTTCATGCAATAATTCAATAAGAGCCTTGCATTCTTTATGCACCAACATGAGTTATGTATTCTATTATTAAGTGCTGCTGCATCTAAACACTGTGGATATACTGGAGAGCTAATGTTGTGGGTATTGTTGGCTGCAGGTTTGGTTGTAAAGGAAAGAACCAGGTGAAACTGAGGACTAACGTTATATTCTCCACGAAGCTCGATCTCACTCCATTTCTATCCAGCTCAGTACAGAACACTTCATTTTCTTCATACCACCTCTATGCTGTTGTGGTGAGTAAAAAAGTAAAGTAAAAAAAAATCTAATCTGTCACCAATTTATTATTTTTTGCTGCTCATTGTCAGCATTTCCAGTCACAGTATGGCAGTAAATTGCTGCAGCTTGCAGATCTGATTTTCTTATAAGGTCGCTACAGAAAATATATATAAATAAATTATATTAGTATAAAAATATTTGAATGAAATGACGAGTTGTCTGCAAAGCAATGGAGTTTTGACGTTTCCCACAATCTCTCTTTTCCATCTGCCAGTACTTTTGTTGTGTACTAAAATGTATGTTAACTCTTTCCTTCTCTAGAACCACACAGGTCATCTTAACATGGGTCACTATACAGCTCTGTGTCAGAACGCCCTAACCCGGATCTGGCACTGTTTTGACGACTCGGACGTCAGAGAGGTACAGGACAGCCTTGTGCAATCACCAAATGCCTATATGCTGCTCTACAGCTGCAAGCCCTTTCAAAAGCCAAACATCCATGGACTCTGAGCTCTCCAAGCAGGCCACATCAATCCATAATCAGTCTGACAACGTTATGGAAGTCCAATGCTAAATCGTGGAGTGTAACATCTTGTTTTTCTGCTGGCTTCTCCAAACCTCTACTCCAAATAAACATTCCAGCATTGTGTGCCATTATTATAGCCAACTGTTTCCATGTAATGTTTATACACCATATTGTCTTATACAGGTAGGGTTTCATTCAGTCGTTTGCCTGTACATACATTTTTGTGACACCACCGTAGCTGATATATCCTGAAACATTCACAGACACAAATGAACACACTAATTTGAAGCAATTTTAATAAATAGTCATATGAGTTGTTTGAGGTTAATATAATCGTTATATCTGAAACAACTTTTTTTTTTTTAGAGCATTAAGAAATAAAATGTACAAGTAAAAAACTGATTATGATCTCATGCCAGGCAATAAAACTGTACTCAGGAAGTAGAGAGTCAAATCCTGCCACCTCAGATCTCTGGTCCATTCAAAAAAAAAAAAAAAAAAAAAACACACAACACATCAGAATACGTTGTGCTTGCTCTTGTCAGTCTGTCAGTTAATGAGTCAGGCAGCAAAAGTTGACACTAGCGCACTTGTTAAAGTGAATTTCTCTTCTCTTCATATTGTACCGGGTCACAGAATACAGAAATAAAATGAATCGGATAAATCAAAATTCCAGCCTCTTAGAAACATCACTGGTATAAGCCAAGAAAGTTATGCCAATAATTTGTCCTTTAAAAATAGTTTTTTGTGTTTGAATATAATAATGTAAAGAGTTAAGTATGTTTAACATAGAATACATTCTACAACAAACATTATAGGTGCAGATAAGTTCTGTCACTGGCTGAACCGAACAAGACAGACAAGATCTCAGCATCAGTATCACTTTAGAGCATTCTGAGTCGCGTACTAATGTCTGCTGTTAAACAATGTGTTCTACATAAACAACTTAAATTGATTGCATATTGTGTAAGTGCAAGAATGTGGTTAATATGGACAAGCAACAATTTCAGTTTCCTATTCTCGTTAAGAAGAATGCAAAATTCAACACTCACAGTCGGTTCCATCCCCTTTAAGATCATGTAACATCAGAAGACTATAGAGTTAAACCCCTAAAACACATGGTTTGTCTTTATGAATATGGTGATACGACGATGGTTGCTACTGTCAAGAAGATAAAGAAATAATGATTTGGTCACTTAACAGATACCTTGCCCTCGAGTATTTACATTTTTGTATGTGCAACATCAGCATTGGTAAGTATGTACATGGCATCTAACTGTTAACCCTGGTGTATACCCAGTACAAGAAAGCTGAAGATCAGTTCTGCAATACGGCCATCCACACTGAGTGCAACAGAAATGACAGTGAAGAGCATCTGAATCAGCTGTCAACCCTACAACACAACCATAAAGGTATAGAAATCAGAGTAAAAGGAGCATCTGTTTAGTCTCTAGATTATCAGTAATACGAACAGACAGCATGTTTTAATAGGTATAGGGTCCTCTAGTAGCTGAAGCATTGCACAGTGTGCCTGCACTTTTCTCCGTTCTGCGACAGACGGGATCTCATAGCCTCTTGCTTTAGAGCGTCCTCGCGTGCGCATGCACGACTAGTTACCCCGCAACTACGTGCGCCAGGTCCTCAGAGCTGTGATTTTAAAAAGAAAAAAACAACCTCTAGGCTTTTGCGTCGCTGCCCTGATGGAGTGTTCCCTCTTTGTGTCCTACAGCTCCATCACAGGGTGGAGTAAAACAGGATGTAGGCAGCGGAGGACTTGACGGAAGAGGTGGAGATGTCAGACACCTCGTGATCATCAAACTTGTACCAGCGCTGTTTGAGGGCATTCTTACAGTAGGCTGTGTAATGGCCGCCATCCAGACCCCCATAGTGGTTCTGGTAGAGGAAAAGAAGAATGTTAAGTTTGTTTGAACAGCTAGATAATCATTATATTGAATACTTGTTTATAAAATACCTGGAGCTGCAGTTTTGAATGTCTACTTAACAAACACCCTCAAACTAGTTCTCATGTAAGCTTGCTTGTAAAAATGTGTTTTGGTCCAAATTAATTTCTTGAGAAGAAAACCTCTGTTGAGAAGACTAACTGCCTGGGCATGGGCAGTATGAACACAGGTTATTCAGTCTTTATTTTCATCAAGTATGCTACAGTAGAACTAATGTGTTATAGCCTTATTTATTTTAACTATTTATGGACCCCCCCACAACAAAAGGACCGACAGTTTTATGAAAGATAGACTAGACAAAAGTATAGTATATAGTATAGCAACAATAATAATAATAATAATAATAACACTACATTGCTTAGTAATGTATATTGTCTGCATCTGTTAAGGCTAAAACACACCGGTGGACAGCACCACGGCACGTCATATGACACTGTCCCTAGCACAGACAGGAAAGGAAGCACTGCGTCAATCACCAGGAGCTGGTCAGGCTTGTGGTAACAGCAGATCGACATCAATGACAAATAATCCTTTGTAACAGCAGGTGGCATAGTTGCCCCATTCAGCAGGACGTAACCTGAACTGTTTCAACTGTGAAGGCTAACTGTTTACTTTTCTCATTGCTGTAATGAACCATTATTGTTTTTACATTTTGTAAGCCTACAGTCTCTTGACTTATCCTGTAACAAATTTGCATTCATTTGTTTGAACTGTGTAAATACATTTTTAACATTCAAATACAGAATGGTTATTATGAATAAAAATAATTAGATTTTCAAATTTCACTTCTACTTACAGAAACTCCATAAAGGCTGTACTTCTTCAGGTTCTGTTTGGGTCCAATGACATACTGGGCCAGGTCCAGATTGTCTAAAGAGAAGTCTACAAACGTCTGCAGCTTCTGCTTCCATCTACCCTCATAGGAGAATCTGCAGAATAAAGCCAAAAAGATCAGTCCAGATTCAAATTTCCAAAACCCTTGAAATATTATAAATCTTATTTCTAGAATAGTGAAAGTGAGCACTGCAAAAAGTTATTTAAAAAAGGTTTTTACGAAGAATGACAAATCATTTGGTCTTGGTTTACATATTTCTTAATGCAAATTTCAAATACAGACCGTTTTAAGTGCACCAGGAGAATGGGTGGGACCTTCCAGATCTCTAGTTTCTTTGTAGAATCTCTGTGGGCCTTGCAGTGTCTGCAGAAGACCTTGTTGTTGTCAGTCAGCTTCTCTTCCTTAGAGAACAGTCTCAGACAATCCTGCGAAGAAGCATGAAATATTTTAGTAAAAAGTTACAAATAAATTTAAAAGAAACCTGTTACAGCTTCATTTTTATTTTTGTTGAGACTTTATAAGCCGTAATGATGAAGTCAAGAGAAAGAAACTGAAACTCATTTGATAGCAAAAAATAAAGTCTGGAACAGGTTAAAATAGTGTATAAATGTTCACAAATGCACTGTAGCTCATCAGAAACTATATATATATATATATATATATATAAACAAAGAACATTCCTGACACACGTCTGATGCATATGTTTAATGTCTGACCGACCTGCAGGGAGCACTTGCTGGTGGAGGCCAGAGGCAGCGACAGGTACATAAAGGTCTCAAATGTCCGTGACTTGCGATGGCAGGTCAGACACTGCACAGTGGACTTGAACTGCCCCTGGAACAGCGCTACAATGATGGACTCGTTCAGCAGTTTGTGTTTGCTCCAGGCCAGGTCGGCAGCCATCTGATCATCCAGATGGTCGTTTTCCTCCTCCTTGTACCGCTTCCTGTTGTCCGCCTGATACCAGAAACAGAAAAACAATATGATGGTACACGGGAACAACTGCAGCTTTAGGTGTAAGCAAAAACCTGCCGTCATGATCCCACTAAAGTGCAATGATTGATGGGGAATATACTGGTCAGAATTATGGAGACGGATTTTCTAATTTCTAATACAAGATAAACTTTGCACTCAGCACCTATCTAATCTCTTTCAGTCTCATTAGCATGCGGTTCAGCCAGTTCAGTCTTATTAGGATAGGCAGGAAGATATGAAAGGCAGGTTAACACTTGCTAATTAATATCTGGTCAATTAGACTGACCGATGTATCAATTAGCCTGGAGAGACAGCCTGATGGCAGACAGAACTGAACATCACACAAAAGGGACGTGATGAGATGGAGAATGTGTCATGAGAAATGCATGTCATCAGCTGTTACAACCTAATTGGCACCTCAGCCTTTAAATTTAAAAGAGTGAATAGCTTGATAAGCAAAATGGGGTGAATGTACTATTTCAACTCAACCCCAGATGGAGACAGTATCTCCAAAAGTTCTCCTAATAACCATCTTCTCTGAGACCTTAACAGTGGCATTCACAGGGAAGAATGTCTTTGAAAAATAATTTAAATAAAAAAGGTTTTGATGTTTCAGCAAGTTTAAAAATAGTAATGTAAATATCAAGCTATGAAATGACAATTCCTAGTCCTTTCCCCCATTCAAATGCACATGAAACCAATCAAATTAGTCAATACAGGCAATGAGGCATGTCTTGGGTCTACATGCACAGAGGTTCTGACAGAGCATCAGACCAGACAGATGCAGACACGCCACACTCACACTGCTGCAGGAGGACCAAGGACACACAGCTATTTACTTACTCTCTAATTTGCCATCAAAATGAAACCCGGTGAAAAAACAGAAAGAAGGAAAATGATAAAAGACTAAGTTTTTATTGTTAACAGGCAAATGTGCAACAACATACAGGGCTAGTAGCAGGCAAGCCTTAGAAGCCATGGTTGAAAAGAATATTATATAATGAGCATATTTAGATGTAAAAGTTTCTCTTTTCTGTTTTTTTGCACCCCTAGCTGATATAGAAACCTTGTAAAGACTTTATTTATGCCACACCTGTAGTTATGCAAGTTGCATGAAACAAGTGTCCACATTACCTTGTTGAGGTCCTCATGGAGTCCATCCATGAGGAACAGCAGCAGCTCCTGGGAGTCTTGCTGGTCATAGCCAGCAAACTGATCATTGATCTTGCCTATGGTGATCTTGAAGTCCCGCGGGCTGATGCACTTGTAAAGACCGGACCACAGGGCCTTCATGATGACACCGAACTCCTCTGCCACCTCCCCTTTATGACCAAGGATGTTGTACCTGGAAACGGAAGACAGCAGAGACAGAGATGTTAAACATTTCCTCATCCCTGATATCTTTATGGGAATTCCACTTTTCTGGGCTCCAACCTGTTGATGTCCTCCATGTAATAATTGTTGTTGAAGTACTCAGCCAGGGCAGGAGTGTTACACAGACTCTGCAAGATGGAGTTCATGTAGCACGTGTTGCCCATGTTACGAAGGCCAGTCAGTGATGCACCTAGACCTCCAAACGTAGGATTCAGGTTGCGAATTTTGGCAGCCGAAGGTCGCACAATCTCCACTTTAGAATAGACTTTAGCAGTGGCAGGTCTGTGAGGGGCAGAGTGGCACAATGAGAGAATACCAGACTTCTTTATTCAGAGACAAGACTAAAGGAAATACAATGTGTAAAAAA